AATCTGATTAGTGCAGGTGGTTTATTTAAAGCTATTTGTGTTAAATAAAATATGTAATATGAGGTTCAATTCAATTTTAATTCAGTTTTGTTCATATAGTGCGGTTCAGGACATAAGTAAACACACAGCGCTTCACATCGGGAGGTCAAGACCTTATGAATCTTAAACAGAAGCTCAACAATCCCAAGTTGGATTTCCTCTGAGCAAGCGGTCAGCAATGGAGGGAAGGAACCAAAATAAAAAAAAAAAACTTCAATGGGATGGAAAAGAAAACCTCCGACAGAACCAGACTCAGGAAAGGCAGCCGTCTGCCGGTCAGAGCGCTGGAAGTGATTTCAGTGACGTGATTTTAAGCTTAGATTTGGTTTGTTTTCCTGGCAGGATGACACATCACAGATAAGTGGTTCCAGGATTGTTGGAAAGTTTAAAATCCAGTAATTATTCCTATTTTTACAGTTTCTGGAGTTGGTAATGTTGTCACGTTGGCTGTTTTTAAAGTTAACACACCTTTCAGACACTCAGGTAGAGTTTGGGGCTCAGAGGGTTATGAAATGAAAGAAATCTAACCGTTTTTTCCTTTAAAAAATTGCTGAAACTCGGGGCGTCGCTGCAGCTCACCTGGTTGAGCTGGCGTCCCATGTACAGGGCTACAGTCCCGATGTGAAGGTCATGAGTTCGAATCCCGCTCATGGTCCTTTCCCACATGTCCTCCCCCCATTCTTCTCCCCTACTTTCCTATCTCTCTCTCACTGCACTATCAAACAAAGGCCAAAAAATAACTTAAAAATTACTGAAACTGATCACTGGAAATAGTCGGTTAATAAGTTTTTGGTTGACAACTAACTGATTAATCACTGCAGCTCTGATTCTGTTGTTATTGATGTTAGGTGCATATTATTGGTGTAACAAACCCTGTGGTTTGTACAGGAGGAGACACTGACGGAGCTTCAGCAGCTCGCCTCCAAACTCCCCTGGACCGACGCCCTGGAGGTCTGGAAGCTCAACAGAACCCTAAAAAAGAAGAAAGGCCACCGGAAAGGAGGAACCGCCACCAAAGTAAAACCTAGCAATGACGCCAGCGATGCAGCTGCTGCTGACGCCGAGCAGCCAGAGCTACCTCAGGTGTCCGAAGGCCAAACGACGACGGAGAGCGCTCCCGAGTCGGAGACCTGCGAACAGGACTCGCAGGAGGCAGCCCCGGAGGCCAAAGTCATCAAGTTTCGGGTGACGTGCAACAGGGCCGGTGACAAACACAGCTTCTCCTCTAATGAGGCAGCCAGAGACTTTGGTGGGGCTGTGCAAGAGTTCTTCCAGTGGAAAGCCGACATGACAAAGTTTGACATAGAGGTAGGCCGGCCTGTTCAAACAGGACGGATGCACACTGAATAACACCACAGCAGCCAAATAAAACTCTGCTTGTAGCGATAACCTTTAAAAGTATGTGCTCATGTTTAGTTTGGGGAGAAACAAAAGACAAGACAACAAGTCCGTTTAATGACTCTTCCATTTAGATAAGATAATCGCTGTATCTGACAGGTTGAGAAACGCTGTGGTTCTTGTAAAGGTTAGAGGTTGGAGATGATGGTTCTCACCGTCTGAGTGAAAACACAGAAGCAGCCACAGCGATGAGCATCTGTTGTGTAACTGTCGGTGTTTCACTGCTCAGCGCCGGTGGTGTGTGATTTGTGCTCAGTTTTCACTTGAGAGTAACAGACGAGGTTCTTACAGCTGTTACGAACAGTTGTTGATGATTAAACTGCAGATTCTTTTCTTAATTAATCAGCAACTCATTTAGTCTGTAAAATGGAAAACAATAAAAAATCCACAACTTTTCAGACGAAGAAACTGAAGAGAACAAAAAAACACATTTTTCACATCAAAAATTTAAATCCTGAGTCGTCATGTAATTTTTTTTTTCATAATTTCAACTTCCTAGAATATAAAAATGTGCTCCTTTTGATTTCTCATCATATGCTGGGTCTTCCTTCCCTGCAGGTCTTACTAAACATCCACAATGAGGAGGTGGTGATCGGCATCGCGCTCACTGAAGAGAGTCTTCATCGCAGAAACATCAGCCACTTCGGACCGACCACGCTGCGATCGACCTTGTGCTACGGCATGCTCAGGTAGCTCTTTGATCCTAATCGCCTGACAACATCGTGTTCACCTCGTACTTTCTGCCAAACGGGTTAATGTGATGTAAATATAAATGTTTAAGTTCCAGTTATATCAGAATCAGAACGTCTATACACACGTCAT